CCCCCTCAGATTTCTCACTCTTCGATGAGTCTCACTCTTGTTTCTGGTCCTAGAGTTGATGTGTCAGAAGAAACGTTACACACGCTCGCCACTCGGTGCTCCGCTGATCTGCGCGCCTCGACGGGGAACGGGAGGAGGAGGAGGAGGGAGAGACTATGATCGACAGTCTTTTACCCCCATCTACTCCCCCTCCACCACTACCACCTCCTCTCTCGCTCTTTTTGCTGCCTGCCGCTTAACCTGAACGAACGGCACAGATGGGAAAATTAGCTGGTGCTATTTTCTCCTTTCATGGTCCTTGATTTCAACTAAATAATTCTGTGTGCGTCTGTGAAAGGTGGGGGGTATTTTTCCACCTCCAACAATTCTAGACAATTTAGCGCACACACTCTTAATAAGACATTTACTGTTCTAGAATGAAATAGTATGTTGAAGCAAAATGCTTGTTTTAAAGCAATACCCAGTCAGTTAAGAACGGTTACACTTTATTTTAAGGTGTCCTTGTTACAGTGTAATTATAGATTTAAGTACTGAGTAATATTAACTACATGTATTTACTATATGTGACCCTGGAGCACAAAACCAGTCATAAGTAGCACAGGTATATTTGTAACAATATATCCAACAATACATTGTATGGGTCAAAATTATAGATTTTTCTTTTATGACAAAAATCATTAGGATTTTAAGTAAAGATCATGTTCCATGAAGATATATATTTTTAAATTTCCTACCGTAAATATATCAAAACAATTTTTGTTTGGTAATATGCATTGCCAAGAACTTCATTTGGTCAACTGTAAAGGCGATTTTATCAATATTTAGATATTTTTGCACCCTCAGATTCCAGATTTTCAAATGTTGTTTTTTAGCCAAATACTGTCCTATCCTAACAAACCACACATCAATAGAAAGCTTATTTATTCAGCTTTCAGATGCTGTATAAATATAAATTTCTAAAAATTGACCCTTATGACTGGTTTTGTGGTCCAGGGTCACATATGGTTAGGGTTAGGATTAGGGTTTGGCTTAGGGTTACTTGCATGTAATAATGCATAATTTATTGTTATTATAATAGTAAGTACATGTAACCTGTGTAACAAGAACACCTTAAAATAAAGTGTCACCCCAAGAACTATATAAGCGTCAACAACCAACTCACGATAAAGTTATGTAGTCTGCCACTTTAAATGCTCGAGCTCTTTAAAGTTGGGTGGATTCTGATTGGCAGTCAATGATTTTATCGTTCATCAGCTGAAAAAAATCACTCTTTTGTGTGTTTCCCAAAAGCAACTATGGTTGCAATTTCCATCATTACCAGTAGTTAAATTAAACCATAGTCGGCCATAGTTAGCTAACGATGCTTTTGGGAAACAACCTTTTTGAAGTTATTACAACCATAACGTTCCTGTGGACATGTGTAACGTTACCTTTATAGCAGTGTTGTGGACTTCCCTATTCTTAGAATTATGATTATTTAAACTTTTATAGTTATCATTTATCATCCTTGATTTGAAAGGCCTTCAGTTTGTTTGTTTTTTTTCTCCATCAAAAAATATAGTTCCAAAAGAAGCCAAAGCATGAAGTTGGAACCAAGCTAGAACAGCATATGTGTAAAGCAGCAGAGATTCATTGCGTCCATAAAATCATCAACTATCAGAGTAGGTATTACATTCAGTGAATAACTTACTTTGCAATCATTAAAACAATCTACATAAAGTATGCATGAGTTTAGTATGAATACAATCAGGAGATAGTACATTCACCATGTTGCCACTGTCAGGGTTAGTCAGGGTACTTCACCAGAATTTACGAATACACCTGGACTCAAAAGATGCTTCGTTGGATGTTTACTACGGAATATTTTTTGCCTACCATTTTATAAATACAGCAAATTCAGACACACTACTCATGTCACATCTTTTTGCATGCTATAAAGTAGATTCTCCCATCTTCAATCATTCTATAAGCACTTGGCTTCAGCTCCACTCCAGGTTTTACATTTACCAGAGACTAACATTTTGTCTTTTCGGAAAACTCAACTTCCTATTCTGCACGACTCACATACTTTGGTCTGGAACAGTGAACAAGCAGAATAAGCATTGACAATGTAGTCTGTGAATGATTGGGGGAGATTAGAAACTGAACAGGACATTTTGGTGTAAATATTTCAGGCCATAAATCTGTTGGCTGGCACTTATTACAGCATGGTACTGTATCTGCATCAGTGCTCTGGGGTATTTGGATCCCAGCCTGAGGACCCCCTACTGGTGCCATAAACACCTCTCCCTCACCCAGCTAGAGTTTCCCCGGAGGTCTCTGTGCATCAGTGGGGGTTTGCAGTGGTCACTTGTTGTTTCAGCACTGCATTGTGGGCTGTTTGTGACACATGACTAGAAAGAAAAGAAGTGATCTACATCTATGAATACATTATTCAATTCTTTAACACATATACTTTAAAATTCCATTTCTGCATCATCTTTGCTTATTTTTACCACAACATTATCAACCAAAAATGAATTCCATCACTTCCAGGTACTGTATGTACTGTGTTCATGAGTCGTCTCGCTTAGCATATGTTACGTAATATTGTAGACATAGCACAAACAGTGATCAGATGTATGCCGGTTCTGTGTGCATGTGTGCGTATGTGTGTTACAGTTCGCTCAGCCTGAAGCTCTGAACACTGAGAAATTAGCGGAGACAGCTGTGCCCTCTTCCTGCCAAAATACTTCCGCCATCCATCCATCCACACACACGGATTAGTGTTTGTCTGTGTTGTGCCCAAGTAACAGAACTATATAATACAATAAATGATTCAGCCTCTTTAAGAGCATCAAAATAGAATTCTCATCTCTCAGTTTAGATAAACAAATAGTTTGCCTAAAATAAAAATGTATTCATTATTTACTCACTCTCATATTGTTTCAAACCACTCTCATGGTATTTATTCCATGGTACACACACACACACACACACACACATATGTTTTTAAAATAATATTACATTTAAAAGATCTTCTACATAGATCTATTTCATACAACAACAACTTATAGTGACGATGGACTGTCAAGCTCAAAGACAACAACAACAACAACAACTACAACAATAACAACAAAAAACAAACAAACAAAAAACATTAGGGTAAGTAAATAATTACAAAATATAATTTTTTTGGGTGAACTATGCCTTTAAACTACAACCACAGTCAAAAAGAAACTATATACTGTACATGTCTCAAGACCTGTAACCGCACAATTGCTTGAGCAAAATGTATAGAATATTGAGTACTTTTCAAAAGTCCTCAAAAGTCAAAACTGTTCTTGAATCATTTGAATAATTCAGCAATTAGTCTTCAAGCCTTCAGTATCCCAGAGTGCAGTAGGGCGTATTACAACAGGTGATGGGCAGGTGAAGGAGGAAGTGATTTACTCCTCCAGTAGCGTTAAGGGTCTATTACAGCTGCAGACAGACATTCAGAGCGGTATCATGACCTTAGCGTATCGCTCAGTGGAAATCCTTTCAGCTGAAAATATGGCTGATGTAAATAAAGCAGCCTGCCAATCAATCCCATCATTCAGAACAAGCGAAACACACCTACCATACGGCTGCTTTTGGCTATATTTAAATGGTACAGTAAGCATTTCATTTCTAAGGAGGCAGTCTTTGTTATCTTGTTTCTTTTCTTAATTTACTTGCACCTTTTAATCCAAATGGCTGGTACGAGCACATGGTTAGCGTCTCACTGTCTGGTCATGCTAGTCTGCTAGTCCATCTGCCTCCTCCACACTTGCACAGGTCCAAGTGAATCTGAATGGTAAGGCGGGCTGTCAAACAGAAAAACTGCTGATGAAGTCAAGAGAGAGAAACTGGCAGCTTGAGATTTTCAAGGTTGACAATATCTCCCTTTGCTTAGGGAATAATAAAGCTAGTCTCAAATTTTTTTTTTGACTGCTGTTCATCATAAGTGGTGACTATTGCTGTCGTGTTTAATAGTTAAACAACAAATAAACACACAAGATTTTTATTACTCTTTATGCCATCATGTGTTACACTAAAAAGTGTTTGTGAAGAACTTAAAAAATAATACATAGATTTTTTAGTTAAATTGTAAGACTAAAATTACATTGTGACTAGAAATTATCCATTTTTTTTATCAAATAAAAAATATTGGGCTGTTTTACATGAAAATACTATCGTATTGACCCGAATATAAGACAATGGTTTTTTCTTGGAAATACATCTGAAAAAACGCGGTCGTCTTATTTTCAGGGTCACCGACAGCATCTCGAGGCCATTTAGCTGCACCACTTGTTAGCTAGCAAATTGAGGTAAGAATGGCATTGTTAATGTTAGCAGTTTTAAACGTAAGTTTTCTTAGAATCTGGGGTAGATAACAAGGTAATTTCTGTAATTTGTGTAACTGTTTAATGAGTTAAATTAACGCAAATATCAGCATCCCCTTCTTGGGTCTCACGTTATTTGTGTTGCCAAAATAAGACATTGTAATGCATTTTTGTCTCCAGTATTTTAGTATAACTGCATTGTTACACAAATAATCTCTGGCTGTTTAAGTGAGCAGCAATCAGTAACGCGCGGTTTTTAATTTTTTTTATACGTGGACCTTGAAAGCACGGCTTCGGATGGTCCGAGTAATTTATATTAAGTATATCGCTGTTACTCTCGTCTGCAAAGTAAAAGGCAGCGGAGATAAATTATCAGATAATCAAGTAAGAAGCGTTTTGCTGAATTTATGTTTTCTGCCAGCATATGACTATGAACTATTCGCTCCTATGAGACACGTGTTTGACGTGCGCACGCTTCATCTGCAATAGTAGATACGAGTTAACTTGCTGCAATTAATGTAACGTTAACATTTGTGGGGTGACAAATTGAGCTTTTGACCACAGCGGCTCGCTGGATTTTCTTTAATATTAACAACGTCATAATTTGCATTTTTCTTGACCAACAGCTTTTCGTCATGTTGGTTAAAGTTCAGTATCAAGGCGTGAAGAAATGTGTAAAACTGCACAGCGATAGTACGTTCCAAGACTTTCTCACTGAAGGTAAGCTAAGAATCTTGTGCCACTGCTTAGAAATGTCATATAGGAACTATGCTTGAGGTATAAGCACACAGGGCTTGTGTATGTTAACTTTTTACAATAAGGTCTCATTTGTTAACATTAATGTGCAAACTAACAATTACTAACTTCAGTATTAATTAATAAAAGTAGAACTGTTTGTTCATTTTAGTTCATAGTGCATTCATGTTAACAGATACAACTTTTGATTTTTATAATGTATTAGGAAATGTTGAGATTAACATTAACTAAGATTATTGAATGCTGTAGACGTATTGTGCATTCTTAGTCCATGTTAATTAATTAAACCTTGTAAAGTTATATATATATATGTATATATGTATGTGTATATTTTTTTGTATATTTGTTTCATGTTACTGTTAAAATTACTTTTCAGTTAAGAGCAAATTCGCTTTAGCAAGAACTGCTGCTCTTGAAGTCTTTGATACAGACACAACTGTGGAAGAGGACATCTTCCATGAATTGATTGAAGGCAGTCCACATTTATGCCTAACAGTAAGATGTCCAGAAGAAAATATTTCTGCTGGTTTGTCTGAGGGTAAGTATATAATAACACTTTAGATATTCTTTCAAGGACTCCAGTGTAATTATCCTGGGGACAAAATGCATTTGGGTCAGAAACACATTTACATTTACCTTTAGCAGACGCTTTTATCTAAACTGACTTAAAAATTGGAGAATACAACAAGTGATTCATCATGAGGAGGCAATAACATAAGAAGTGCTAATAATTCAAACGTTGTCTAAAATGGTCCAGGGTACAACATTAGCAGGATACAATTAAGTGCTCACTTGTGAGTTTAGCAGTTTATTGAATATTGTCACAGATTTGTTTGGGTTAATATCCAATCATGAAAAGGTGGACGAAAGGATCAGGTGGTTAACAGTGTTGACTGCAGCTAGATATAGGAGAATGAGAACTGACAAGGGTGTATCCTTAGTTTTACTATTTTTATTGTTGTTTTAAAGGGTTAGTTCACCCAAAAATGAAAATTGTCATTATTTACTCACCCTCATTGCTCCCAAACCTGTAAGACTTTCGTTCATCTTCAGAACAGAAATTAAGATATTTGATGAAATCCAAGAGCTTTCTGATCTCTCCATAGACTGCAACATAATTGCAACTGTCAAGGCCCAGAAAGGTAGAAAAGATATCATTAACGGTCCATGTGACCACAGTGGTTCAATATTAATGTTTTGAAGTGATGAGAGAACTTTCTGTGTACAAAAATAAAGACTTTATTCAAGAATCTTCTCACTTCCACATCATTCTCCTATGCTATTCGAGTAGTATGCGCAGCGCTGGGCCTTGAAAGTTGCAATGACGTTGCTGCCTATGGATGGTTCAGAAAGCTCTCAGGTTTCATCAAAAACATCTTAATTTGTGTTCTGAAGATGAATGAAGTTCTTATGGGTTTGGAACAACATGAGGGTGAGTAATTAATGACATTTTTTTTATTTTGCTGTACTAACCCTTTAATTGGATTTGTGATGCAAAATTCTTGCTACAGAAGTAAAGAACATTTAGACAAAGCCCTGTTTGATTTAATGCCTTTAGAGAAAACATGAAAATTGTTTTGTTTTTCTCAAGAATTTTCACCCACAAGATCATCAACCCCCAGCACATGCACTGATACTCTTTCACTCTCTTCAACTGACCATGAAGAGACCGAGAGAGCAGTGCAAAATCAAGCCGCAATGGCCAGCAACAGTTTTAACATGGACGCTGAAAAGGCAAAACAGAATGTTAATAATCAGTCAGGTTCTTTGTTTGTCGGAGAAAGTGATCCCCAAGTTGCTCTCATTGAAAATGTTACCTTTTCCAGGAGAGAGACGGCAGATATATGTGCCTCAATTGTGGCCAAATTACAGTGCAGTGGAGTAGCCAATAGCTTGGTATCATCAGTTGTTTCAGACCTTGAGGACCTCACCACGGAACTGCATAGCCAAACTCGTCAAGATGTGATTTCTGTTATTCCTCTTAACCCCATCAGATCAGCTGTCGAAGATGCATACAACATGCAGAGCAGTGGGTCCACAGGACAGGGATTGAAAATCACTGGCATAATGTGTCTAAATGTTCCTTTTGGACTCTTAACTGATTGCACGTGTTCACTTGCATTATATTGACCTACAGCTCTCGGACGTCCATGTACAACTCTTTGTTTGTGTTCTAATTAAGTTAAGTCAGTCACATAGCTTGGTTTGGCTGAGGGTGTAGACGAGAATTTCAAAAACATCACCAAATCTTTGGCAAAAAGTCATCAGATGTCAATAGATGAAAACATTCTGTTGGAATGATGTTGACAATGGTGAAATGTTGGCAGGAATGCTATAGAATCCCAACTTAATTACCTTAATCTGGGTTTGTATGAACGCTATATTAGTGTGGAAATGAGTCTCTTGGTGTTAAGATATTGACACACCTAGTGTAGTTTCAACACTAACTTGGTGTAAATGAGGGGGAGGAAAAACACACACTAATTTAACGGTGAACACTTACAGTGTTGTTTTTACTCTATGTAAGTGTAAAAAAAAGTAACACTATTTATTTAAAGTGTTAGTTTAACTATTTAGTGTGGACCTATATAAACCCCGAAAAAGTGTTAATTTAACACTTTCAAATTTGCTGTGTAGCCTGATGGGACCAAACTCTTTTGTGATTTTAAAACGTAAGACAGTACCCAGATTTGAAGACTACAGTAAGATTTAACTTCTACTGTTAATAAGATTTTGGTAGGCTACTATTAGATGGATAGGCTAAATGTCCTAATTCAGATGGGCTACCTGTTTATTTTTTTTTATGGTATATCAAAAAGTGTATATTTTTTAAATGTGATTGTTGGTACATTTGACCAGTTTTTACCATACTTTCAAAACAAAAATTAAAATAGGAAAAATATGCAATATGAAAATAATTGAAGACAAAATGTGTTTTCCTGAGAAAAAACAAGATTTGGTTTTTAAAAAGCCTTTTTCCAAAAGGTACATCTGAAAAAAGGGGGGTCGTCTTATAATCAGGGTTGTCTTATATTCGGGGTCAATACGGTACTTCAGTTTTTCTACTTCAAAAGTTAATGTTTAATTCAATGTGTTGCTTGCTGTTTCTTTGTAATTGAAAATTTACTAGCAATTTTTAAGATAAAAATGGTTTCTATACCATTTTTTCAGTGCAGTTCTATGCAGATTATTTCCTTTATACACATTTCAGTTTAATTTATCATTATTTTTTCATAAGAAACATACATGGAGATTTGTGTAGATTTAAAATACCACCCAATGAATGCAAAACCTCTGCTGTAAAGCAGTGAATGAACATTTTGAGCACAACAATTTGACAGATTTAGGTACTGTGCGAACAAGTGCCACTAGCAAAAGGAATATGCGTGAGAGAAAAAGTTTTCACACACATAACCTGGAAAATCGAAGAACAAAAAGGCTTACAACCTAAAGCAAACAACATCCCACACTGCTGGCGCTCCTGCTGCATGACATTATGGAATAATGACAGGGGCTGGGGGGACGACAAAGACAGCGAATACATATGTGTATTTAGAGACAGAGAATGGAAAGAATGGAGCTCAAGTCTTAAGCACCTGGGAAAGAGAAACTGAGAGACAATGTGAGGGAGAGAGAGAGACTGGAAAACCAGTAAAAAGAAGTCCATAAAGCAGAGTGTAAAGGTCGAGCAAAGGAATGACTCTTGCAAGCGTGATAGAAGCCATTCATTTCTAAGAATTTCTCCTTTTGTGTTCTAGAAAGATCGAGGTCAAACAGGTTTGGCATGACATGAAAGTGAGTAAATGACTGAAATTTCATTTTTCAGTGAGCTACTCCTTTAACTTCTGAAAAAGACCGTGTGTGCGTACGAGAGAGTGAGAAAGAGATTTGTCACAGTCATGCACAACATTACCCCACTTTGATTAGATGATGAGATATATGCAACACACACAAGCACGCACACAGACAGGCTGCTCTGCCAACATAGTGTCATATGGAGCTTGAGGTTGCTTCCTGCACATCAAGTCTGTGCAGTCTGTGTTTGTCGGTTCTGAACGTCTTTGTGCTACGTGTGACTCCTGGCTACCCTGTGTTTCTGCCTGTGGATCATTAAAGACTGTTCTGTGTGAAATCCCTCGTTTCCTCACTCCTAACAGTAGGCAACCGTGTTTCCATGTTTTCCTCAGTGTCTTTTTTCCCCCGTTGTGCTCTTTGTATAGATCCCTTCACCCACCCGGAGTACCTCCTCTTCCTGCTGGAGCAGGGGGAGAGATCGCTCGAGGGCCACACCAAACTGTTCCTGGTCCTTGCCAACCTCTCCAGCTACCAGGACGACGCGCTCTTTGCATTCTATGATGCCAGCCTAAAATCGGCGTACAGAGTGGCGTCATCCGAGTAAGGCCCTCAAGCGAGTTTCGCCGCCTTTGTGGAGTGGACACTGCGAGACACGGATCCCCGTTCACCGTCTGCCCCGAGGGGGATCTTGCCAGTACCACTCCCGACCCAGCCCACCATCTCCCCGCGATGCGAAGCACCAGCCCGAGCCACCGTTGACGGAGAGCCATTGCCCGCCGCAATCAGCGAACCAGCGCAAAGCCGAGCGACTGAGCAGAGGATTGGCCCGGACGTAGAGCTGAACCCGTCAGACCAGGTGCGAGAGCCGGCGACAATGCCTGTCACGAGAGAGAAAGCCGCGGACGGTGTGAGCGCGGAGAGGAGCTCCACCCCCTGCACTGTGGCTGAGGGTGAGCTGAGTAGGGCGTGGCGAATGTGCCACACCGAAGAGGAGAGGGCTCCAGTCCCCGAATCCAGTCCAGAGCGCCATCCTGTTCCCGTGTTCAGCCTAGAGGAGGCTCCTGATCCAGAGTTTAGCCCTGAATGCCCGGAGGTTCACAAATGCCTGCCCTCCCACCCGCTCCTGCCTCCTCCACCGCTGTCGTCTGGCAGCCCCGCTGCTCGCCCTCAACCCACCATCATTACGGTGTGAGCGCCGCGAATCTGCCATCCTCCAGCGTCGCCTTGACTGGAGAATCCCTCAGCTCTGCCTTCAGCCTCCGAGGCCCGGACTCCGCCTCAGACCGTAGACCCAGCGGCTCCACCTCGGCTCCTAGCTCCCTCGCCTTCACCGTCACCCGTCGATCCACCGGGCTCCCTCGTCCCTCCGGCTCTGCCTTGGTCGGACGTCGACCTGCCATCGCCTCAGGACTCCGCTCCTCCGGCTGCAGTGCGAGCTCCGCGGGTCTGCCATCCTCCAGCGTCGCCTTGGCTGGAGAATCCCTCACCTCTGCCTTCAGCCTCCGAGGCCCGGACTCCGCCTCAGACCGTAGACCCAGCGGCTCCACCTCGGCTCCTAGCTCCCTCGCCTTCACCGTCACCCGTCGATCCACCGGGCTCCCTCGTCCCTCCGGCTCTGCCTTGGTCGGACGTCGACCTGCCATCGCCTCAGGACTCCGCTCCTCCGGCTGCACCTCGTCGCTCCGTCCTCCGCCTTGGTCGGGCGTCGACCCGCCATCGCCTCTGGACTCCTCTCCTCTGGCTGCGCCTCGTCGCTCTGTCCTACCGGCTCCGTTGGGCTCCTTCCTCCCGTCAGCTCCACCTTGGTCCTCAGTCGCTCCGGCTCTGCCGCGGATCTCCGCCTCGGTCGCCAGAGCCCTCGGCTCCACCCTGGCCCCCCGGATCCTCGCCATCCCCCTGGCTCGTTGGCTCTCCGTCTCCGCCTCGGGCTCCTCCACCACCTGCTCCGCCGCCATTGGTCGGCCCCCTGGATTCGGCGGCCATTCCTCCTCCATGGCTCCTCCCTCCGCCGGCTCCACCGTGGTCTGCCATCATGGCTGTGGCCTGGGTCCTGCTTGGCTCCTCCTGCTCCGGGCCCCTCCTGTCTCCTCCCTCATTCGTCGCCTCCCTGGTCTCTGTCTGTCGGCCCCCTCCCGGGTGTCTGTCCTCCTCCTGAGCCTCCACCTTAGTTCCCACCCATTCCCCGCCTCTGTTCTACGGTGCGAGGATGCACCTTCCGGGAGGGAGGCGATATGTCAGGATTCTGGACTGTCTATGTTCTGTTTTGCCCCCGTTTCTGTTCTAGTATTCCCTTATTTGTTCTTGTTCCTGTCCTCGTTTAGTTTAATTAGTCATCCCATACACCTGTGTCTTCCCAATTATCCTGTGTATTTAGCCCCAGTCTGTGCAGTCTGTGTTTGTCGGTTCTGAACGTCTTTGTGCTACATGTGTCTCCTGGCTACCCTGTGTTTCCTCCTGTGGATCATTAAAGACTGTTCTGTGTGAAATCCCTCATTTCCTCGCTCCTAACAGTAGGCAACCGTGACATGTTTGTATTTACATATACATAATAAATATACACAGTATACACATATATTATGCAAACAAAAACTTAGTACTAATATATTTATATATATATAATAAATAAACAAAACACACTACAGAATAGAGATATGTTAGTCTTTTTGTAATATAAATAATTTTATGGTGGTGTAAAAAGATTTTCAGAACATTATAAAATAATGACAATATTGACAATATTTTAAAATAAAACATGACGGATTATGCGTTCAAAGTGTGCATGGGTATTCACATTCTTTCTGCAACATTCAAATGAACATCCCATAATATGGGTGTCACGATGAATCTGAAGTGATTTGATGAGAATGTAAAACCTGAATATTTCACAGCAGCATATTAGCCTGAGTCAAACACATATACTCCAGTGACCTGCGCTCAATGTCACACATGCGCACACACACTCACACTGGACCCCTCTTTGTTCTGGGGCAGCATCTGTTTGGTCTGATAAAGGGATTAGGACATCCATTCCCCTGACCAGCCAATGGGGTTTAACCACACTGAGAATAACAGTATGAGTTTGTGTGTGTATGTGTGAGAGACGTCTTCAGAAACATAGAGGAAGACTAGAAGTGTGCTGTTGTTTTTTCTCATGGTGTGTGTGTTCAAATCCAGATTGTGCCATTTTTCGCCTGAATGAGAGAAATGATGAAATCCTAATTACACGCTACAGACATCACCCCAAGCAAAGACTCGCTCAGTCAAGCGCTGCCCAACAAAGCACGCGCTTGCAAACCTTAGCCTTCACGACACGACTCCAGTACATTCCTCTCGCTGTCCTTCCTCTTCATCGGCATGAAGAGAGTTGTTGCGCAGCTACAACATAAGAACAGCCGTGTATAATTGGGAAAATAATTCAATGTAAACAAAAACGCACACACAAACTCCACCTTGTGCACGCTGATGAACATTGATGTGTAATAGAGTGGAGTGATTTGTCTGCTGTCGGTTCAGGGAACCATAGGAAGAGTTGCTGACACGACATATTATGCCCTTGTGATTTAATACACTGATGACGATGAAGACGGTGATGATGATGCTGATGACAACGGCCATGATGCTAATGGTGGTGATGTAAATGCCTCTGTGATGATCCAGCGCCATGACCAATATGTTTCTGGATCAGATTGTTTTTAGTAATAAATACTCTTTTGCTCTCTCTCTTCGTCTATTTCACCCTCTGTTCCTGTCGGTCTGCCATACTTTATCATTAACTGCAGCCACCCAGATCAGCCAACCGGAAAATTTTCATCATGAAACACTAACTCATCTGCATAATACAGCTCCATTCACTCACTCCCCGTGCATAAATTAATACATGAATAACAATGAAAGACCCGGTGTCGCTCTCTGAACTGAATGTGACGTTCCTTTGGTAAAGTGTTACGCTGTGAAATATCCTCACGCTTGAGTGTGCTCCAAGGTTGAATCCGTACACTCTCTCTGTGTGCTGTGATTAATTTGTCTGACCTCTAGTTTTACATCTTAATAAACCGCAGAGTATATGCGACAAAATTAAACCGGACGTGCGTCATTATTGTGACGTTAAATTACTGTACATTTTTACAGTAATCTATTGTTGAATTTATTATTGTGACGAAAGCTTACTGTACATTTTTACAGTAATCTAATTAAACCGGACGTGCGTCATTATTGTGACGTTAAATTACTGTACATTTTTACAGTAATCTATTGTTGAATTTCTGAGAAGTGTAAAAGCTTTGCTGTTTGACTGACCAATTGCAGATAAGGGGACAGTAGGAGTGCTTGACAACTTCATTAATTTAGAATTTCTGTTTGATGAAATTTCTGTCTAAATGAATAAATAAAGTCACAAACAGTTTTACCAACAATTCAAACTTTCTAATAGGCTACAAGGAAAATAAGTAATTATTATTTCATTTCATAAATCATTATTTGTGCGGTATTATTATAATGGCCACAAATAACATCACCTTAAAAAAAAAGTTAAAATCTGTTGGACATTGAACTCTTCCATCTTCCTCTCAGAGAAGTGACATTAGACCACGTGAAGAGTAATAGGGTGAAACAATGAAAAAAGAGAGAAGCTGTGAATAATCGAATAAAAAATGGTGATAAAAGAGGAAAGTCAAAGAAAGAGAGAGAGAGAGAGATTGAGAGAGTACACTGGAATGGCAGAAAAACGCAGCTGTGCAGACACACTCATGCAGAAAATTTCAGCCTTTAATAAATCTCTCACACACACACACACACACACACACAGACACAGAGTCGCTATAATCCAATACCTCACGCTGCATTAGAGGAGACCAGAGACGGACAGCATGAAAGACAGAGAAAGACAAACAGAGGAGCAGAATAAACATGCAAAACACAATTACACAACACACACAGATGAAGCACTGTACCAAAAAATACCAGCAAGTGTTCACTAAAGCAAACATTGGTATAAATGACAATACTGTACACACACTTACATAAATTTGCTATTTAGCAGCCACCTTTCATCTAAAGAGCTTTACAATACAACACAATACTATACCCTTGAAGAGGCTTCAGGATAAGTGGCTGGCTAAAGGTCACAATTATTAGCAGCTTGGTTTTGGTTTTTTACCAACCAATGTAGATACCAATATCGAGAGAGCAGGCCATGGCAATATAAAGGCCTTATATATGAAATTTAAAATAAATATTTTAAATGCATTTCAAATTAACTTGAAATGTAACTTCATATTTTTAAATATTCAAATGTATCAATTTCATAGCATATATGAGCAATATCACACCAGTAGCAGTGCCTTAGGTAATCACAGTGTGCTGATACAGCCATATCTCACGGCTACGAGTGTGATATTGCATTTATACAACAGTTCAACGGCACGAGTGTGTAAATACATAAGAAACAACAACAGAGTGTCTTTAAAAGCCCTGTTTTGTGCAGAACTACTTCCGCTCGCCACGGATTCAAATCTAAAGTTGACAGTTTAACAGCTGAGCCCAAGCCTCAGCTACTAATTCGAAAACGCCAATTTAGAACTAGCAATGAAGGAAAGTAGAGTTGCTTCATTGAAAACTTATTATATTACTGTATTAAAAGCTCACTGTATTATGTTTTTTATGAGACACATTATGAGTATTATGAGTATTATGAGAGAGACTGACTGAACGAGTGTGATTACCTGCATCTGATACAGCATTCATTCTTCAGCTCAATCTCATATTCACAATAAAACATTAGTTTGAATATCCGCTGAGGAAAGCGATATCTTTGTCATACTATCCTTTCATCTGTTAAGGGTGATTTCCATTGACAGCATTGCTCAGTGCATTTGTTGGCTGCTTTCAATATAAAAGTCTTTACTGCTGACTCACTCATAAAAACAGTCTCTTGCCGCCATCTAATGGCAAAATAATGTAACTAAAATCACCATCACAAACACACACACACACACACATCGTTTCTCAATGCTATATACCATTATTAAATACTATTATTTATATAAAATAATATTTATTGAATAATAATATTTAATAAACAACAACAACAACAGCCATCACAAAAGTTGCTAGGCAATTCAGTCAAAAGAACAAAGGCAGCACTCTGATATACAGCATTAACGTTATCTATAAAATATAATAAAATATAATAATATGATGAGATTTTGCCCTCAGTCGAAACTATTTGCTCTGGAACTAATAATAGATTAATTATTAATAGATTAATAATTCCTGATTTACCCAAAACAAATTATATCTCATGTTTAACCACTATAGAGACATCAGAGCCAGATGTAAATTCCAGAAGAACTGGCTGAGGTGAGGCGATCTCTGCGGGTTTATGAACTGAAGCCCTGGAACTCACACCTCCAAAAACGTTGAAGCAAATTTTCAAATTTTTATTTACAAACTGCATATTTGAAGTCTGAACAACTACATTCTTGCCTTAAAAAACTCTTAATACTACATTCCGTGACACAAAAACAGTATTATTTATAAAACTAAATATGAAATAGCAAATAGCAATATCATATAATTTAATTAGTAATATTGAATAATTGAAGTACATGAGATGTACAAACTGCTACAGTGAGTTTTACTTAATTACCACATTTCTGGCCAAATATTGGTCACTGGCCAGGATATACATCTATCATATATAGTCATAATGGTTAGCAGGATTGATGCTAAGGATTGATAGTAAGCAGGATTGAGATGTCAGAAATTCTCCAGCTGTTACTTAAGATTGAGGCTGAAACTACGGTGTTAGCGGATTGATCTTTACTCACAAATACACAGCAGATCTACTATGTACCGCTATTTTGAGTGTGTATGTGTGTGTCCAGGGCAGCCTGAGAGAAGACTGCTAATCTCAGCAGTCACATTACGTAGCATACCCATGATGCACCTGTCTGGGGATTGGGATGGTGGGGGTGTTGAGATAAGGGGAAGGACAGATAAGAATGAGGTAAAATGAAGAACGAGAGAGAAGAGTTGGAAAATAAAGAGAAAAGGGTAGAGGGGGAAATCTGTTTTTAGAGAGAAATAGATGGGGTGAAGTAAAATGGTCTGTCAGCTAGAGTGGACCGTTAACAAATGTGGACAAAAGCAGATGCTCAGAGGGATTTAAACATACAGAGTCTTGTATAGCCATTGTTCATGTATGCAAACAATCCAACAGACTGATTATAATTATTTAAATGGAACAAAATAAAAGGTAGATATGATATCCCTGCAAGCACATATTCATCTTACCCTCCTCATGGCATGTGTGTGTGTGTGTGTGTGTGCAGTCATGCTGATTATGTGGGTTTGAGTACAGGGGCCTGGAGGAGTCAACAGAAGGTGAGCAGTGATAAGACTCTTACTTAGCGTGTCTGTGTGTGTGTGTGTTTGAGTGTCGCCGTAAATCAAGTTTCCAGGCTTTTGCCTTTCCCTAATGACATGAAAGTGAAACACAAACACACACACACACACACACACATCAACACAAATGCATTTAATTCTTCTAAAAATTATTTTCAGTTTTACCATAGGCAATCTAGAATTTAGTTTTAACTGTTGAGTAGAATGACTTCTAAAATGTATAAAAAGTATAATACAGTGAGTTCTGGAATGCGTATAATTTAAAATACACTCATTTTATTGTATTGAGTTTATTAACAATAACGTTAATTGAGTCAAATATTGCGACCCACTACCAGGCCGTGGAAGAATTGCTACCGAGTCGCAAGAACATTCTGGGAAAAATGTGTATAGATATGACACTATGTTATTTATTGCACCGCGCGTTAATGACTGTTCTAATTATTCTGTATTTTCATTGTATTTTCATTTTCATTAATTGATATGGAGTAGCAATTTGATGATTTCATGTTAAATTAGTAAATGAAAGATTGCTGTGATCTGTCATATATTAGGGGTTTAAAGGTGCAGTAGGAGATCTTGGAAAATGCTAACTTTAGCTTGATAGCACTGAAAGCGAACATCCCACCCTCCCTGCAATCGCCATCCAAAGCCACGCCCCCTGAACGCATATACGCTCACAGACCATAATACCAGAGACAACATTACTACAATAGGCTACATCAGTGGTTCCCAATTCCAGTTTGAAGCGCCATATGTTCCATACAAAGGGTATTAAAGTGTGCGAGACGTAAATTTAAATAGTATTTATTTACAGAGGTATATTATGTCACACTTCACACTTCTCTAGTAAGTTTCGTCTGTGTGTGAAGACGCTGCGCAGCGCAAATCCGTGAATGAATGTCCCGAAGTGAAGTAAACTTCCAACGGATTTCCCCTGCTCAGGGAGTAGGGAGCAATGAACATTGTGTAGGGATCATATCGATCGGAACACAGTTCATGCACGTAGCTCACTTCTAACGAGCCGGTTAATGGCGCTTTTCCACTGCATGGTACGGCTCGGTATGGTTCACTTTTGGGGGGGTTTTCCACTGGGTACAGTGCCTGTTACCTGGTACTTTTTTTAGTACCACCTCGGTTGAGGTTCCAAGTGAACCGTACCGTTACCAAAACATGACGTGTTGATGAGGACTGGAATTGGGAACCGCTGGGCTACATCATGTGTCATTCACCGGTGAGAAAACTTTAAAAGTACTACAATACCAGGAAGGAAGATCGGGTTGTTGATGTTTGTCTGCCATTCTCTCTCTGTCTGCACAGCGTGCGTGAACGCGTTGATGACGTATCCTGTCTGTGCGAACCGGGTGCGCAGAGGTATGCTAATACATACGTTGACAGGCAGGTAAGAAAGCCAATTAAAACGCTCGGACCGAGCGTTTTGATTGGATGAACATTTCTTGGTCCTACGCCTTCCACAGAATATATAAATACAGATAAATACATTTAGACATTTAGACAGCATAACAAAAAATGTTTCTGAAGACAATCACCTTTTGCACCTTTAACAGAGCACAGTTGATCCGTGATTCGTACAGACTGGACCCTGCCATTCGGCACGCATGTGATTCGCAGATTAATTTGGCAATTTACACGTTCAAGCAGTTTTAAACCACAAGAAGAAGAAACGAAAGAGAAGTCAATTCGTCATGCGCTGTTCTTGAACACTGCCAAAGCACGCACAAGCAGAGACGTGTTTCAGACTGAGCGCGAATATTGAGTTGATTCCTCTTTCACGTCTCCCTGCATTTAAAGGGGTCATATGATGCGATTTCAAGTTTTCCTTTCTCTTTGGAGTGTTACAAGCTGTTTGTGAATAGATAAGATACCTAAAGTTGCAAAGACTAAAGTCTCAAACCCAAAGAGATATTCTTTATAAAAGAATCGTCCATGCCCTCCTAAAACGCCTCGTTAAAACACACCCCCACATGTCTACGTCACGATGTGGGACGATTTGAATAACACTGCCCAAATGTTCACACAAAGAAAGAATATGAGTATGTTTTCATATTTAAAGGATTTGCCACTGACGATTCAAACGCGAGTTTTGAGCAGTGTAGAGTAGCGCTTGTTGTTTGTCGTTTCTCTGATCACAAATGCAGACATGGTTTAATGTTTACGCGGCGCGATGCAACGCAACGCGTAAAAAGACAGTATAAGTCATTATAATGAGTAATTATGTCCCCACTGGATGCAACAAATGCCGCGTTTATAATGGGTTTTAATGTTTTTGTCTCGTCGCTCCATCACAGTATGGTAAGGGGCGTAACATTTCCGTCACACGCTTGAGGTATTCGGCCAATCATAGCGCACTGGATAGCTGGCCAATCAGAGCACACCTCGCTTTTCAGAACGATGAGCAATAAGTAATTACTAAGTGACTGTTAAAAATTATGTTTTATAGTATGTATGTGTGTGTAGTATAAATGAAATTCAGATTTACTACATCCACCATGTAGGATTTGGTAGCAAAGCAATGCAACGCTGGTAGGTCACATGACATTCACAACTCCTCTCCTGTGGCCTCATGAGATATTTGAGCATCCATTGGATGCACAAAATATCACCTGTAATAGTAGGGAATCTGAGTACTTTCATCTGCAGTTTTATGAATACTGTAAATTTGGACATGCTCTTTTTTGCGTACTAAATAGTAGGCAAGTATGCATATTTGGATACAGCTCAAATGACTGTTTTAAGAGTGAATCACTGAATCATTCACTCAAATGATTTGTTTAATAATGCATTGCCTTTCATTAGAAAATATTTTTAAAAAGACAGTAATTGTCAATATTTTTTAATGCATTTAAATATATTAAAAAAATTAATTTGTGTTTATGGCATTTGTTTATTTGTATTTATTTATCATGGACAACCAATTACATTACTCTCAAAAATGGCTATTACCCAAAATGACTACACATTTTATTTCTTCTTGCTCATGTTCCAAATGTTTAGATTCTCTCACAAAATTAAGGAACTGTAGCTAATGATGCAGCATTACTGGCTACTGAACTGTGCTGTATAGTGCCGTCCATTTAAAATGAGAAAGACGCATACAGTACTGAAGGAGTCAGTCACAGTTTTGTGTATGCAAGCAGATGTGTTATGTGTGTGTAGCTTCAGTTAGGCTTCAGGCATTGCTGTATGCTCATGGGAAAGGTTGTCCAGTCTAATTTGACTTCTATTATGCTGTCGAACATTAGCAGAATAGCTAATCAATGAGCCTTTATATCTTAGTGCTTGAATGCAAACACGCACACTCACACATAGGCAAGCATTTCAGAAGTTCCCCGTAAACAACATACAGCTTCACCATGTAGAATCATGCTAAGACCCTGACACGCTCGCACACAAAAACTGCATAAAATCTAGATGGCTCCGAGACTGTGAGTGCCTGTACCCCGTTGCTGAAGGGGGCGTCGTCACGTCGAGCATTTCCATGGTGAACATGTTCGGTTGCTATGTAATTATGGCCTATTTGTATGAGAGCCTGCACCTGAAGTGGGTCTGACTGCTGCTCATATGATTGGCCGTGCATGCGTGTGTCTTTATGTGTAAGAATCAACAGCATGGAAGTTAGCTTTAATTTCACATTTGCATTACAAGAGAAGGGAAATTATGTTTGCAGGCCTGGGTTTCGAGTGTATGGCATTTGCATGTACTTGCTGTCTGTGCAGGTTTATGCAGAGCTCTGTTTTTGTGTGCGAGGACAAACGTGTTACTGGATTATTCTACTGTTGTTCAAATAATTTGGCAAATTCCACCTCTAATCACGTGATTCTGTCTTGACTCCACCCATTTCTGGGGAAATAACGCTGCACGACACAAAGCTGCCACCAGCTGCCTAACTTTCTCTCCTGCAATTATCTCCAGACCGACATCTAGACTTACAGCACCTTACTGCTCCTTCCTGACCTATCAACTGGGCTTTAAAGCCGCATCACCATGGAAACATAAAGCTACAAGTTTGTTTTGCTATTCGGCCCGAATCAGTTTTCTAAAGTGTTTTTGAAAAATCACATACCCTGCCTTTAAGGGTGAAATAAAATATATAAAATATAATAAAAATAAAATAAATCAAATTTAAATAAAATTACATATAAAATAAAATTACATTAAAAAATAAATAAAATAAAATAAAATAAAAATTTCTTTGACTGACAACCATAGTTTTAAAATTTTTCTTCAGGTTTATACAGTACCCTAATAGTAGGTAGAAAATCAGTGTCAGCTTAATAGAAACTAAATATTTTACAGATAACGTTTTCCACAGTATATGTGGTCTTTATACATTAAAATATGGCTGTCATTTGAGTTATCATTTTTGGGGTCTGTGGGATCAAAAAGTTAGGAATCCCCTGCTCAAAGCAACCCTTGAAATCAGAGGGAAATGATTGGCTGATAAAAATGTTGTTGACCCAGCCCCAGCTCTACATCTAAACTTACACCTAAAATCTGATTGGTTGATAGGAATGTTGTCCTGCTTGGGTAAATCATGTTAAGCAACATGCACAAGAACATACAGTACACAGTGTGATTCACCCTAATAAATCATGTTCCCAGATACACATCATTTATTGGTCCTGGAACCACAAATCAGTAGCTTAAAACTATTCCCTAAATCAGAGGTCATCGATTTGTTGCCAGATAAGCACTTCCAGGATGTTGATCCAGGAACATGCCCAATTTGGGTGGATAATGTTAAGCATGAAGCTCCAGTTTTTGAGCTCCAGTTATGACAGGAACACCAGAGAAAGACACACATATCATACCTGTGTTGTTGTTGTTTATGTGTTTGAGTCTTTTCTGGTGTGTTTTGCCATTGTAGTGTATCTGTGCTTGTGCTGCGGAGTTCAGCTGAATGTTGCACACTTCACAGAGTGTGTACGACCTGTGTTTGCGCTCCCGCTTCGGACGAGAGTTTATCGGTGGGGCTTCCCGTCTTGTAAACTCCACCCCTTCAGAGGACACACCCTCATGCCCAGTCTGTTCAGTCAGCGACCCGTCTTCAACAGGACTCAATGGACGCTTCATTCCTAAAGAGAGTAGAAAAGTTCTTTTAATTCATCTAAAATATTTTATGATCTCCATCTAAAAACTTTTTAAACCACATTTTCTCAATTTTATATTAATACAAAAAGTTTTCTCTGACTTCATACTAATTGCATTTTGAACAACTGATTTGTCACATCGAAGCAGCAGAATTATAAATGGTAAAAAAAGAAATATGTACATATACAGACACACACACACACACACATTCAAAAATGTAGGGTTGGTAAGCTGTTTTAATGTTTTAAAGTCTCTTATGTTCACTAATGTTGCATTTAATTAAAAGTACAGTAAAACAGTAACATGACAGTAATACTATAATTAAAAGAACAATTTTCTATTTTATTATATTTTAAAATGTAATTTATTCCTGTGATGCAAAGCTGAATTTTCAGCATCATTACTCCAGTCTTCAGTGTCACATGATCCTTCAGAAATTATTCCAATATGCTGAGAATATGCTTTTTGCCCCAGGATTCTTTGATGAACAATGTTCAAAAGAACAGCATTTACTTCAAATAAAAATCTTTTGTCACTTTGGATCAATTTAATGCATCCTTGATGTATGAAAATATTCATTTATTTCAAGGAAAAACTTACTGACCCTAAACTTTTGAACTGTAGTGTTTTCTGTTTATCGTTTTTCTGACGATCTCTGGGGATTACAGCAGTGCTACTGACCGCCACTAGGGGGAGATATTCATCAACAATGCCCAGAACTGACTTTTTTTTTTTTTTTTTTTTTTTTTTAACAGTTAAATACAGTCATATGTTATATATGACACTTTTTTTTAACTTTATCTGCTTTTTAAAAATAATAATAAATAAATAAAATCTTTGCATGTAGCTCATGAATATCATTTTGTGCACCGCTAGCCTACTATAGTAAACCCCACAATCTCTGGACTTGTCTATCAAACACACACCTCACACAGACAAACATATACTAGAGCATTTTACACACGCACACAGGCCCCATTGATCCAGCGCCTCCTTCTCTAAACACCACTCCCTGACCACAGAGCACAAACACACATCTGTCTCTGCTGCCCAAACATACTGTAAACCCACCCCACCCAACTCACAACACTCCAACTATGATTGGTTAAACATTACAACTAAAATAAAATGTGAAAATAAGTAAATCAATTAAAACACTCTTTCA